ACTGACAGCGTTGGAAATCCTTTGGGGGCTGCAGTTCTACTCTGTCACATGGGGTCACTGTGAGTTAGAATCAACAGCACAGCACACACAGCCAGAACCTATCAGGACCTATCAAGGAAAACTGATGACCTCAGGAATGTGGTCTCCTCCTCCCCTTTCCTTAGGGAACTCTGGGGGCTTAGCGGTAAGGAGTTGCCCTGCCAGCCCAAAGGAATATAGTTCAAATGCATTAGCTGCTCCACAAGAGAAAGATGGGAACTCTCCTCTTGTGCAGTTTAGTGCCTCTGAACACCCTCCGGAGGGTCAGTTATGGGCTGGTTCAACTTGACAACACACCACAATATTATCTTCCCATTCTCACTGCCTACCACTCTCCTTTGCTCACTTGGCACCAGCCTCAGGGCCTTTGCACCTACTGTTCTCTCTACATGGAATGCTGTTCTCTTAGATGGCAAAAGACCCCCTCCCACCTTTTTCAAGTCTTTGTTCAACTGTCCCCTCAGGAAGGCTTTCCCTGAACTCCCTATTTAAAACTACCATCCTCCTCCTCCTCCTCAACCACCATCCTCCCATATGGTTGGACTTTCTTTTTATTAATGTTTGTTTGTTGCTGTTACCACGTTAACTCTCAGTAAGTCCATGTGACAAAGCAGAACTGTCCCGTGGGGTCTCCTGGGCTGCAGTCATTGTGTGTTGGGTTAAGCACTGGGCTGCCCCAAAAAAAGTTAAAAGTTTTACTGGTAACTGCAAGTTGGCAGCTTGACACTATGTAGGATCCCTGGTGGCCTCACCAGTACCATGGCAGGCTGTTAACCAAAAGGTTGGCAGTTCTAATCCACCAGCCCTCCAAAGGAGAAAGAGGAGGGAGTTGGTTTCCCTAAAGATTTACAACTTTGAGAGCCTTCAGGGGTGGTCCTACTCTGATTGGGGGTTTCATCTTCATGAGAGCAGATGGCCAGGCCTTTCCCCACAGAACCACTAACTCACTTCCAGCCACTCGAGAATGACTCGCAGCGACCCTCCACTGTGCTCCCAAGACTGAGTCTCTGAGGGAGGAGACGGCCCATCTTTCTGCAGCAGAGTAGCTGGAGGATTTGAACTTTTGGTCAATGGCCTGACACACGAGCTCACAGGGCTACTACATGGGTTCAAAGTGCCAACTTTCATTACCAGTCAAGTCCTTAACTACCCACATAAAGAAGCTTAAAAAACCCCAGGACCTTCCTCCAGTCCTCTTCACACTGGTGGTGCTTCAGGGGCTGTTGCACCAGCCACCACTTGTGTAGAGACCCCGTGAGCATCAGAGCTGAAGCTTGCCCTACCTCGCCACATCCTCCTAATCTGTGCCAGACTCTAGCCCATTGTTCCAGCCACAGTATCAATCTACCTCGTCAAGGGTCTTCCGCCCTCCCTCTGACCCAGCACAACGTCTCTTTCCCAGGATTAACCCCTCCTGACAACATGCTCAAAGTATGAGACATAAAATTTCACCATCCTGGCCTCTAAGGGGCGCCCTGGTTACACTTGCCCCCAGACAGACTTGCCTGTTCTGGGATGGACTTGCAGTCCATGCGATATTCAGTGCCTGTTCACTGTTGTTAGGTGCTGTTGAGTCGAGCACCACTCGTAACCACCTATAAACAACAGATCTGAACCTGTCCTGTCCTGTACCGTCCTCACAATCTCTGACACACTTGGGCCCATTGCTGCATGCAGTCACTGTGTCAATCCATCTCATCGAGGATCTGTCTTTCACTGACCCTCCACCATTCATTCCAGCATGATTTCTCTCTTCAAGGAATAGTGTCTCCTAGCAACATGCCCAAAGTATTTGAGACAAAGCTCTCTCCTTTTCATAACTACCCTGAAAGAATAGAGTAGAATCACCTCACAGGGTTTAAACCCATAACTAACAACTCATACATTCAAACTCGGAGTGCCCCTCCGTCATGTTACCGAGGCGGTGAATCCAGTCAGAGACGGCTTCATCTTTTTCTCTCTCCACACCACCAAGGCACCCTCTACAGGGTTTTCAAGCCCCTTCTTTAACTTCAAACTCAAACTCATAGCCCTGGATGTTGATTCGTTTTGTGTTTTTTTTTTAAATTCTTTTTATTACTTATGTCAATGAAAATTTACAGAGACTTTGGATTTCCATTCATTCATTGCTGCACTTTTCTCCCCGCCCAGCCCCCCACCCCCAGTACACTACCCTCTTGGAAAAGTAAAAGAAAAATTCTTTCATTGTTTTACAATCCCTCCCCCAGATCCACTCCACTATGCAGTCTTCATTCGGGACTCCCGTCATGACAAAAATACCTAATCACATAACCCTTTTAAACAGTTTTTGCCCTCATCTGTTTATTCATCCCATCTTTCTCAGTCTCCCCCTAATCCCGATGTCAGTCCTGTTTTACAACAGTGGCACCATGCAATATTTGTCCTTTTGTGACTGAGATACTTCACTCAGCATAATGTCCTCCAGCATCACCCATTTTTAATAATACTGCATGAGTTCCTTGTGGAAGTTGATTCTGACTCAGGGTGACTTTCCACCAGGTTTTCAGAGCTGTGACTCTCCATGGGAGAAAACCTTCCCCCGAACCTGCTGGTGTGTCCTGAGCAGCTGGATTCGAACAGCTGACCTCAGGTTAGCAGTTTGATGTCTGAAGTGCAATACCCCACTTTCTAATTCTGTGTATTGTTGCGGAACCGACCCATAGCTGATCCTCCCATAGCTGATCCTCCAGTGAGTTTTCAGAGAGAGTAAATCGCAAGCCGAGCACCTGGTGGACTCAAACCATGTGTCTTCCAGTTGGCAGCGCAATCACTTGCCACTAGGCTGCGCTGCAATCCCAAAGCCATGCGGTTTGAATCCACCAACTGCTCCTGCAAGACAAAGATGCGCAATCTTACATGCGATTAACTGTCTTTGAAAACCTGCTGGAGGGTCAGCTATGGATGGGTTCCAACTCCACAGTACACAACAATAGTGACATTTTGGTTGTCAAGGCTGAGAGGGAAGGAATACTCTCTGTAATTACTTTTATTCTATGTGTTCATTATCATCTGCCTCACGACTGCTCCATTAGCAGCCAGCTACCTCCACAATGCATGGTGGAGAGATTGAGGTTGTTCACAGCTTTAGTCTGCTTGGCTCCACAGTCAACACTTTTGGCACCATCAGCGAAGAAATTAAAAGTATTGCGATGGGAAAGTCTGTGGTTAGAGATCTCTCTAAAGTACTGAAGAGCAACAATGTCAGTCTGGAGACTAAGGTGTACTTGATACATGCCATGGTCTTTGCAATCACTTGCTATGCATCAGAGAGCTGGACAATGACTAGGGATGATAGAAGGAGAATTGATGCCTTTGAGCTGTGGTGCTGGAGAAGAGTATTAAACATACCTTGGAATGCTAAAAAGAACGTATAGGTTTGTCCTGGAGAAGGTGGAGCCAGGCTGCTCCTTGGAGGCAAGAATTCTGAAGTTTTGTCTGACATACTTTGGATATGTTGCAAAGAGGGACCGGTCCTTGGAGAGGGACGTCACGCTTGGGAGGGTGGAGGGACAGCAAAGGAGAGGAAGACCCTCGATGAGATGGGGGTAGGTGTATTGGAGACAGTGAGATTGGCACAGGATAGGGCAGGGTTTAGTGCTGTTGTACATAGCGGTCGCTGTGAGTTGCAGGCAACTTGATGGCATATAACAACAACAACCTTTACAAAGGCAGGGATTTTGCTGGCTTAGTAGTAGTTTAGAGCTGTTGTACATAGGGTCGCTAGGAGTCACAAGCGACTCGACGGCACATAACAACAACAGTGGTAAGAAGTTGCACTGCCAACCCAAAGCCACCTGGTTCCAATCCACCAGCTGCCCCAAGGGAAAATCTCTTCCCCATGCCATTTGTTGTTGTTATGTGCCATCAAGTCACCTGCCACTCATAGTGACCCTGTGTACAATAGCTCTGAAGCCTGTCCTATCCTGAGTCAGTCTCATTGACTCTAACACACCAACCCCCATTATCCCAGTTACTATGTCAATCTATCTAACCTCTCCTGCGCTGTCCCTCCACCCTTCCAAGCATGATGTCCTTCACCAAAGACCGGTCCCTACTGCCAATATGCCCAAAGAATATTGAACAAAGTTTCAAAATCCTATCCTCCAAGGAGAAACTCGGTTTCACCCTCTCCAAGGCAGACCTGTTTTCTTGGTGGTCCATAGTATGCTCTTCTCCAGCACCACAACTCAAAGACATCGATTCTTCTTCTGTCATCCTTAGTCATTGTCCAGCTCTCTGATGCATACCAAGTAATTACAAAGACCATGGCCTGAATCAGGCACATATTAGTCTCCAGACTGACATCGTTGCTTCTCAGTGCTCTAGAGAGGTCCCTGACAGCAGATTTTCCCCAGTGCAATTCATCTTTTGGTTTCCTGACCGTTGGTGCCAAGAGTGTTGACTGTGGAGCCAAGTGTTAACAACTTCAATCTCTTCCCCATCTATCATGATGCTGCCAATTGGCCCAGTGGTGAGCATTTTTTTTTATGCTGAGCTTCAATCTTTATTGAAGGCTACAGTCCTTGCTTGGCCTTCTGCAGCAAGCGCTTCAGGTCCTCCTCAGTTTCAGCAAGGTTGTGTTGTCTGCATTTCACAGATTGTTCACAGTCTTTCTCTAAAAACCTGCTGGAGGGTCAGCTATGAGTAGGTTCTGACTTGACGGTACTAAACAACGAACTTGATCCGTTTTGTTAATTGATGACTCTCCAAGGACCTAGATTGGTGTCTGGCAAACAGTGGGCACGAACTGGATGGTTATTAAGATTGCTTTCCCTGGGGGTAAGGACCCTGGCCCTTTCCTAAGGATGTCTGCACCCCAGCCCAGCGCAGGACCCCAGGGAAGAAGTAGTGTTCTCAGCGGGCAATGGCTTAGCTTTGCGTCTCCATCCCCTCGCAGGTGACATCCAGCGATGGCCGCGGCTGTGTGCCTGCCGAACCCGATGCCCCTGCAGGACTTTCTCAAGGCCTCACACTTCGCGCTGGGGCCTGACTCGCGGCTGCACGAGGGCACCATGCAGTCCACGACGCAGCGGGACTTCCCGAGCTACCCGGGCGCCACGCGCACGTCGCCCTGCAGCCGGCCGCCGTACGCCACCTGCTTCCTGCCGGACGCGCACTGGGCGCCCCAGCAGTGCTTCTCCGAGGCGCACCGCGCCTTCCGGCCGCTCCCGCCCACGCGCACGCCGGTTAGGGCCGTGGCGCGGGAGCGCGCTCTGGCCGTGCAGATCTCCAGCCTGCGCATGTACGCGGACGCGCACGACGGCGCCAGCTTCTCGGAGGCGCGCGCGGCCTACACCTGGCCCGAGCTGCCTGCGCGCACCAGCGAGCGGATTCACGGGGCGCGCCTGTTCTTTGCGGGCGACTCGGTGCCATCCGGCGATCGCGCCAAGCTGGGTATCCCGCCCACCACGCACCAAGAGCACTTCCCCTCGCGCGGCGCCTGCCGCCAGCCGCGCGCTCCCTGCTGCCACTTCGGTGAGCGCGCGCCGGGGCCTGGGGAGGTTTGCCTGACGATTTCAAAGCGGGAGATAAGGGGATTTGGCTCGGATGGGAATGCTTGGTGATATTTCGGTTGTCATGGCTGAAAGCGCAGTGGTGCCTGGAATGGGGTGGGAGGCCAGGAATGCTGCTCAACATCCTGCTTTGCACAAATCGCCCACCCCCACCAGCCAAACGTCAATATTGTTGTTAAGGGCCGAGTGACCCCATGAACTATAGATGGGAACTTTGCCCTCTTCTCTGACATCCTCACTGCTTCCACCATGTCCAAGTTCATACTTGGAGTCACTGTGTCAGTCCATCTCGTTGAGGGGCTTCCTCTATTTCGCTAACCTTTTTCCTCCAAAGTACTAAAGGGCAATGATGTCAGCTTAAAGACTAAGGTGCATCTGCTCCAAGCCATGTTCGTTTCACTTGCTTGCTATGCATCTGAAAGCTGGACAGTGACTAAGGACAGCAGAAGAAGAACCAATGTCTTTGAGTTGTGTTGTTGGAGGTCTGCCAAGGGAACAAAGAGGTCTGTCTTGGAGAAAGTGAAACCAGAGTGCTTCTTGGAAGCAAGGATGAGGGAACTTCATCTCATATATGTTGGGCTTGCTGTTAGGATGGACCAGTCCTTGGAAAAGGCTTGGAAAGGTAGAGGGTGAATAGAAGAGAGGAAACCCTCCACAAGATAGGTTGACACAGTGACTGTGGCAATGGGCTAAAGTGTGTCACAAATGGTCTTATTTGCTATTAACCACCTTTCCCTAGAAAGTATGAGGAAACTGCCTCACATACTTTGGTCATGTGTCAGGAGTTGACAGTCCTTGGGAAAATACAACGTTTCAATACTGTGGTCAGACACATCTGCTAAGCACTTCTGCCTGACCCTGCCACTGTTGTGGCCATGTGAGCCAAGCAAGTTGGCCCCTCTGGGCCTCAGTTTCCTAATCTGCAAAATTAGTTCAATAACGAGACTCACCCTGGAGGAGCTGGTGACGCTGAAATGGCCAGAGAAGAAAGTGGTGTTGCTGTCATTGTGTACCATCAAGTTGGAACCGATTCATAGCGGATGGTCCAGCACGTTTTCAGAGGCAATCCATTACGTGGAAGGAGAGCGTTCATCTTTTCCTGCCGAGCAGGTCTGAACCACGTTCCTTTGTGTTGACAGCGCACCTTCTTAACCATTAAAGCCACCAGAGCTCACTGGAGGAGAATAAGCCCTCAGCAAAGGCTAGCCATGTTGCGGGTGGTTTTACAGTTCTGTGATTCCAGGGCTTTTCTGTCCAGTGTCACCAGCAGGTGTCCCAGATGTGACTCTTAGTTCTATCTCCTAACTTAATGTGATTTCTGGCAAATCACTTCATTTCACTGAGCATTAGAAAGGTTGTCCTACGGAGGAAATGGCTGTGGCCTCAAGGATGAACTGAGAAAGCCTTTAATACCCAGCTCCTTCTGCACCTCGTCATTTTATTGTCGTTACTGTTGTTTGGGGGTCTTCTAGGTGGTCCTCAGGGCTAAACTGGGTCAGAACTGCCTAGTTTCCCTTTGGGGTCTGAGCAGGTCCAATTCAAACTTTCCTTCTCCCATCTTCCCCACTCCCCAGGGGGCTTCAATGTCCTCAAAGGAGATCTCAGGAGTCAGGGCGATGGCACCTCCTACCAGAAACAGTTCCAGGCCTTGCCGGGGGCTCCCGCCTTGATGTGTAAGAGGGTAAATTGAGGCCGGACTGGACTGCTGGGGAGGGCAGCTGCTGGCTGTGGTGGCCATCCCAGCCCTACTTATCTGCAGGCCTCCTCTAGTGTGGAACTGGGGGACTGCAAGATTGGCTACAGGCCTTTGTGCTCCGAGCAGAAGCAAGCCTACCGGCCTCAGGGTTTGCCTGAAGACAGGTACAAAAGGGACCCTTGTCTTCCTATGGGAAAGAGTGGCGTGGCCCTTAACCAAAATCTAACCTTTGTCAGACTCTGGCACCACCCTCTGAATAGTGAGCCAACTCTACCAGATCACCCTCAGACGCCTCTAACCAGGCTTCACTCCTGGCATCTTAGCACAACGTGGCTCCACACCTCCTCTCAGGCTCCGCCCACTCACCGCCAGCATCACACTGGCTCCGCCCTTCCACAGGTTCCAGTCACTCCCACTTCCAGCTCCACCCTGACTGTGCCCCTTCCTCTCTGGTTTCACTCTCTAACCTTGGCCCCGCCCCCACCGGCCACGCCCCCTTACCAAGTATGATCCTCTGGGCACCTCCCCTCCTTTAGGCCACGCCCTCCTCTTTAGCCCCGCCTCTGCTCACCTCCAGCTCTCCCTGCTTTCACTCCCCAATTGCTAGCAGCACCTTGGCCCCGCCCTCCCATCCGGCCACGCCCCTTTGTCAAACAGTATCCTCCGGGCATTGCCCCTCCCTTTGGACCACGCCCCTCGCCAAGCCCCGCCTCTACCCACCTCCAGCATCACTCTGGCTCCACCCAGTCCATTTCAGCCCAGCCACAGGCTCCACCTCTGAGCCCTCCCGCCTGCCCAGCCTGGTGGCTCCCATCTCTCCAGCAGGTATGACAAGGCCAAGGCCTCCGCGCACATCTACTATGTGAATATTCCTTCGGGTGACGGCCTCTTTCACCATGGTACCACCACCGCCCGCAACTTCTGTGCCAAGGAGCTAGGTGAGAGGCCATGGCATGCCTGCTGCTCGCCCTGACAGCTGCTGCCAAGGGCACCTCAGCATTGACTGACCTTGTACTTGGCAGGACCTTTTGTTCTTCACCACGACCTGACCCCCATGTCGCACATCCTGGAAGGAAACCAGCGCCGCGGTCCGGGCAGTCTCACTGCCTCCACGCAGTTGTTCTTTGGCCAGGTCAGCAGGCTGGGGAGAAGGGGGCCGGAGCCGCTGGAGAAAAGGGCTTCCTGGTAGAGCCAATATCAGATGCAAAGCACCTGGGCTGTGAAATCGAGCCTCTCCTTGATTTAGTTTAGTTTGAGGACCAAGGTGCACCTGATCCGGGCCATGGTATTTTCAATTACTTGGTGGTGGTGTTGTCAGGTGCCATCAAATACACAGTGACCTTCTGCAACCGTAGATAGATCTGAACCCTGCCCTATCCTGTGCCATCCCCTTCGTCTTTGCTACACGAGATGCCCTTGTGACAGTCGCTGTGTCCACCCATCTCGTTGAGAGTCAGTTACTTCATTGTTGTGCTGTTATGTGCCATCGAGTCTCTTGTGATTCATAGCGACCCTATGTACAAGAGCCCTAAACGC